CCTTCTAGATCATAATCATTCTTTTAATGATCAATTTCAAATTCTTCACATTCAAAATAAAGGCCTTAAGGTGTATTTATTAGAATCTATGGAAATTAACAAATTGAAAAATACAGACATCATTCTGAATGACCAACTTGAGACAAATAATTCTCCATTCCTCAACTTATTCAGTTAAGACTATAGTGGAAACGCATACCAAAAATAGATAGTGATAATAAAAAAATTATGATAAATTTTGATACATCAATCTACATGTAAATAATAAGACGATAGAACAGAATTATAACTATTTATGGACAAAGATTAATGAAACAAACGATTATACCAAAGAAATTAGAGTTAGAATAGGAAAGGTTGGAAGTGCATTCAATAATATGAAACAAATATGTTGTAGAGACCTCAGCCTAAATCTTAGAAAACGAGTACTAAAGTGTAATGTATCTTCTGTTTTTTGTATGGCGTGGAGACATAGACTTTAAATAAACAAAGTTACAATAAATTGGAAGCATTTGAAATGTGGACATATCGAAGAATGCTGAGAATCTCCTGGACAGACAGAATAACCAATAAAGAAGTACAAAGAAGAATAGAGAACAGCAGGAAGATACTGGATTCCATCAAAATAAAAAAAACTACAATATCTGGGTCATATAACACGTGGAGATAGATATGAATTCCTAAAACTAATAATGCAGAGAAATATTCAAGGAAAGCGCAGCATAGGTATACGAAGAATGTCCTGGATGAGAAACCTCAAAGTTGAATGGTTTCTATGCAGCTCAACGGAACTCTTTTGGACTGTAGTGTCAAAAGTTAGACTAACAGTGATGGTTGCCAAACTTCGTCGCGGAGATGGCACGAAAAGAAGAAATACATTTAGTGGAAGTGTTGAAAACAAAAGTTTACAGTGCTAGATAAAGTAAATTTCCATCAAGTGTCGAATCCATCACATATTTTTAAAAGAATTAAACTTACCAGCTAGATATAGTGCAAACATTCCTCACCACGGCGCAGTAGACGAAATTTGGTTTACAATAGAATCTTTCTGCCTTTACGTGAATTTTGACTCCGCCTTCGCGCAGCTCCATAGTCAGGAGTCTTTGCACTATCTCTACCAAGAAAAAACGGATACAGTTCGCATATTTGGCTGATAATTAAACTAAAACGTCTAGTGAAACCAATTTTTTCTTTTCATTCAATAAAAACAAAATAAGATAGGGCTATTGTCACTCTTCCATTGGTAAAGTACAAAAAAACTAGATTCTAAGTATGGTGGTTCATATTGAAAAGGCTTATTTCTGTCACTGTTTCAAATATTAATTTTAAACCCTAGTGGAAAAATGTTTGATAGGTCACCTTCGCAACAATTTGCTTACTCAGTCTATAATTGTCTCAATTTGAATTTTTGTACATTTTTTCTTGCTTTATTTAGTATATACAACACATTCAACAGAAAAATAAATTATTTCTTGTACAACATTTACAGGCTTTATACAAGTTTAAAATTGGAAAAATGAAAACCTAACAACAAACAAAATAAAATAATATAACAACACAACTCGTTTATAGACTTCAATGAGCTGGATATTTTTCTGGAAGTGAAAACACAAATTTTTTATTATATTTTGTTGAAACGAGGTATCTTTTAAAAACGTGAAAAATGATGTAGAAATCATTTCGAATGTTTATTTTAATAATACAATTATCAATTATTAATAATCTAGTGTTACACCAATGATATTGGTGCGTATTAGGATCGACTAAACATTGTCTACTGGAACCCTGTATAGAAATACTAAAGACTACCGCAAGAAGAAAAGAAGAATGGATGAATGACGAGATACTCAATATGATGGAACAACGTAGATAATTTAAAAACTAAGACAACAATAAATACAGAGAGATAAACCACGAGATCAGGAAGATGATAAAGCAGGCAAAAGAAAAATACTTTGAAGAGAAATGCAAAGAGATCGAATACCTTCAAAATAAATATGATCTGTTTAACCTACACAAGAAAGTTAAAGAATTGGTAGGACTAAGAAAACAAAATCCCACTCGTGCAATTCTGGATAGACACATACGGACGAGAAAATACAACCATCACAATGGTTACAATGTATCACATGGTTACAAGTAATTGTGGGATACAAGAATGCCCTGACACAATATAATTTCTGCACAAGGCTCTGAATGTGAAAGTAACGAAATTCAAGCAAAGGCGGGTAAATATCGAGTGTACCCATGACTCTTAAAGTTATTAAAGTCGAGAAACACGAGATAATGATCCAGATGTTGGATAGACGAAGAAATATGTGGCAGATATATTGTAATAGTTGTGTTTTTATTATTTTTATGTTTTATTGTTAATAAATATAATTTTAATTGAATTGAAGTGAATTTTAAAAGTATGTAGTTCGTTGTTAATATACTATACCTCGGCTAGCTCAATTATTTGTTCTAAGCAATCTGTCACTGTGTGACGTCAACTCTGTAGTCTCCTGGTAGAGTTCAAAAAGAAATTAAACCAAAATTTACTTTATATTTTTGATAAATTAACCCAAATGAAGCACGTTATTTATTAATATTGAACAAATTTAATATAAACAATAAAATTCGTCTGCAACTTGGGTTGCCTTTAAAAATTTACAAAAATAGGAATCGTGTAAACCTTAATGTGTCGTGAAAATAGAATTTGATTACAAAATGTGGAAACTCTCTACAATTACCTTAAATCTAAATGACTATTGCAACTTTATAAAGTGTTTAAATGAAATATAAAGAAAAGAAAACTGAACACTTTATGCCGCTGACTTATAACTAGCATTAAAATATAATCAAAATTTCAAATGATCCCCAAAATTATTATCCAACTTCACTTTCAAACAGTTCTGATTTTTTTTTTTTTTTAAAGAAAACTAACTACTCGCAAAATAATCGGTGAAACTGGAATATCTATCCTCTCTTCGGAAGTTAAAGGTACGTACTATTATATTTTTATTTTAATGATCATTAATATTTCAATTTTTAAGGCCTATCGCAATTAGTTAATTCATGAATTTTTACTTTTTCAATCTAAATGACATTTCTGCACTCCAATTATAATTTATAAGTCAAAATTTCTCTTACTCTCTGGAACAAATTCTGGATATCTCTATTTGAAAATGTGGAAAAACTAAATTATAATTAAACGATTTTAAAGCACTCCCGGACTATTCCACCTTTTTAGGGCTCTTCCTCCAAACTTTTCGTCGCCTCCAACAACCTATTCTTCCTTGTTAACCGCCATAGCTAGCACCAACCACCAAAAATTCTCCGTTGCTAACAGCAACCCCCTTTCTTTTTTCATTCCGTCTTCTATTTTATTCAACCATAAAACTGTCCTGTTTTGACATATTTGTCAAACCACATTAATTTCTCATAAGCACTTTAATCACATCTAATTTGGGAATTTAAAAAAAAAAATTCAGATATAAAACTTAACAATACTAATATAATTTATTCTTTTCATCTCCACATCATTGTAATTTATTTAACAAAACCCTATTAATTTAGTTCCCACAGACTTTTGACAGTTTATTTTTCTGACGTTTATTTTTGAAATTTCTATGTTTAAATAATTTTTTAAGAATTCTTCTTTTTTATTCCTTTTAAGGTTTAGACGATTCACCTATACACTAGGCAACTATACTATTCAGAAATTATTAACACTATACCAGGTAAGTCAAAATTAATTTATTTAGCAATTTACTAATCTTTTCTCCCTTTTATTTCAGAGTCGACCCCACATTGTGATGGCTTCATGAAATTCATGAACAACAAACTCATATAAAAATCCCTTTAAGTTATATCCTCTTTGACATATTGAAATCATTTCAATATATTGGAACTACAAATACAAAACGTTCGTCAAAATGTGACAGCTATCAGTGTACATATTTATACAGTATCTTATTTTTTCTTAATTATCGCGAGGGAATAGATTCGAAGTAATTAATTTGTGTTTTCTCGAGAAAAATACCCACTCTTTATTTCTTTCTGACGCTTGCACTCCTACAACCCACTGAACATCGACTGGCAGTATTATAGTTAAGAAAATTAATATGAAATTAATGTTTCTTTCATCTATATTTATCTACCTCTTCGGCGTAAAGATATTTTTCTTTTTCCTAATTTTTAAAATTCTAGGTCATCTTCTAAAAATTAACTTCCTAAATATCACATTCTTTTTCTTTTGTACACATAAAAAAGGATCTCACATTTAAAAATAACACGTTAAAATATATATTTACAAGTTATTTATCAAGTAATGAGAAAATATCATATTTGTCTCGTCATGTTTGAGTATTTTTTGAAAAAATTCGTATTTAAGGTCACGTTGATGAATGAGAAATTTTTTTGCTTTTTAGCAGCATCTTGGAATGATTTTTTCACTATACTGGCTTTGATGTAACATTTTTATTTATTGACAAATAAGACCTTTCTAAATTGGATTAAGTAAAAAACTGAAAAAGTGCGATACATATTTTCTTAATCTGCATCAATAAAAAAACTTAATTAGCATTTTAACATTCAGCAAAAATGCTGAACTATTGAGATCCAGTAAATTGACATAATAAACAAGAAAAACTCATATGTTCTATATGTTCAAAAACCGGTTTTGAATAAAAGAAAAATGATTTATAAAACTGAAGAAGAGTTAAAATTTATTTTGTTATAATTAAACATGTGAATAAAGAAGGCTTTAGATCTTGAAAATATTGTAACAATTTGAAGAGATTGCAAGAAGTCCAATTGCATTTACTCATTATGTGAAACGGAAAAGTGAGAGGAACGTGTAAAAGCAAAGAATGGGAAATACGGTAACAAAGATAAATGAATCTCAATTAAAACGAGCATTAGTAGAATTACAAAAGAAATTGTGATGTAAAATGTGAATTTGGATTTATTGAAGTAGTACGATATTTGCGTAAATACAATTAAGTTCAACATGATGCAGATATTCCAGTTTTGTAGTACGTTCTATTGAAGTTTATCTTTTAACTGAAATTGTTACATAAAAAATGTTACGCTTTTATTTTTAAATAGTGAAAAATATAAGTACTTGGTCAGTGTTTTACAGGAGTGCCGCCGCAGTGTTATACAATTGAACTAAGACCTGCATATGAACTGGTAAGCAAGATAGCCGGTCTTTGGTGTTTGAATCCAACGCCAGCCAAGACAAAGCATTGTAGCCCTCTAGGACGTATCTGAAAATAAAGCATACAATTAGTAAAGCACATTTAAAATGATTATTTCTTTATCTTAAATGCTATCCTTAACCCTTAAATGCATCGTGTTGCCGTTCGGCAACATAGGTACATGATTGAATGAAATGTCTATTCTGATTCGAATTTGAAGTAACTGCATGGCGTTGCCTGTAGTCTACATAGTTTAAATATAAAATAGTTTGGCACTTTTTTCACAGATGGCATAAGCGTGCACTTAGACACGTTGAATTCATTGATAGCTAACCTGTAACGTCGTGTATTATTTGATCAAGTTTGTGAATCGTAACTAATTAGAATATTAGTGATTTATTATTGAAAAAATATCCTAGTTAGTTTACCCAGTTTTACAATTTTGAAAACTGGGAATGATTCGAATCAAATATCGTGTTTGACAAGATTTTTGTGTTGTTCCATTGCAAAGACCGGCGGAGAGGTGAGATGCAAGACTGGATGCCGTTACGATACAGATCGATCGAAGGACGAAAGTCAGGTTTGAATATTTGGTCAAGGAGAACAGATGTGTTTAATTTAGTCGAAAAAAACCGACTAAAATCACCTAAACCGGTGAAAAAAAGGTCATTTGTGCTCAAAGTAATGTGTCAGTTTAAGTAATAGTAATCACTGGCTTTGTTGTATGCCGTCTCTCATCAGAGATATTTGTAAAACGGCGTTTTCAATAAATTTGGAAAGTATCCGCATGTTTCCAGTTTTCTAAGAAGCAGATTTTCAAGTTTGTGTCCAGGGCCCCAAATTTCAACTTCAAATTGTTGTCCTAAGAAGCTGTTTCAAAATACTTTTCGTAGTATGGAGATGAATTTGTTCGTGTGGCAGAGAGTGTAAGTTCTTTGTTCTTTTACATTTAATAATTTTAAATATATTATTGAAGTTACTTTATTAAATATGACAATTTCTCAGAGTTCATAATTTTTACCATGATTAGTATAGAAGTAAAAAAACCCGTGGTGAATAATTAATGTAAACGTACCTTAGAACATCTGTGGTATATTGAGAATCCAGCGGATGAGATGTCACCGCAGATTGTTGCAACAAATCATCAGAGTTCTGTTGGATATTGGGGCTGTGTAAGTGTAATGCGTTTTTCAAGAATGCCGGACACACTCCTTCTAAATGAGGACACGATGACCAGAACCACCGAGGCATCTTACCAGTTGGAGCTGTCGATACGAAATATCCTAATGCAAGCGGTTGTTGTAAGACCACACCGACTTCTTCACTCGGTTCAATGCCTTTAGAATTCATTCCACCGATCATTGGTGTACCTGTAATAAAGTAAAAAATATTCACATTAAAAATATTTAATGATGCATAATTTTAACAAATATATCGAAAAGAATAAAAATAATCAAGCAAATTCTACAAAAGACGTAAAAGCTTAAGTCTCCTGCCCTTTTGAGTTAGTTTGAGAGTTCTGATAGTGACGTTTTACCGGTGAAGATCAGTTGTAGACTATGGTTTGCTCATTTTGTATATATTGAAGAAGTTAATATAGTTTGGAATATTGAATAACAGCTTGTTTATTCACGCAAAGACGAATCCTGAAGTAGTTTTTACCATGGATGTATAAACACAGATGGACTCAGTTATTTACATAAAATTGTGAAGTCAAAATTATTTGAATAGGTCACATTCTCAGCACCTTCAACTGTTGTCACGTTTTGTTTTAAAATTTCTTATTCGCGAGTCGCTGAAAATATTACTCCGTATTTTATACTCTACAGGTGTACTCTAAAATAATAATTTATTGGTTAGATTAATATATTTAATTGTAATCAAAATATCAAGTGTGCACATAGTGTGCATTATCATTTAATAATAGCGTATAATAGATATCAAGCAATTATTTTATATGTAGAAGCACTGAAAACTATTTATAAATGGCAACGGTTGTTTACATTTCTCTGTCTTATGGATCTACGTCAAACTCCAAATGCTGTTCCATGTTTGTTTACTTTTTACAGTAAATGAGGAAAAAGTTATTTTTCGATATTTTGGCTGTATTTTGAGTGATATTTGTGAAAAGTGAAATAAAATAAACGAAATATTTACATCCCGACCTCTCATTTCATTTGTAAGTACATACAATTTACATTATTTAAGATGGGGAAATGAGGAAGCGTGTTTGTTTACATTTTAATAGGCGTACCATTGGGTTTATCATTGGGTTCATTAATGTATTGAATAAGATATGAGTTCATGAAATTAGTAGACATTTATAAATTGTAAGTAGACATCATCTGATTAAAAAAGATCTGTTTAGTACCTTTTTAATTTAATATTTCTCATGGATACAAATAAATTAGGGAAATGAATAAAACTCATTTATTTTTCTATGTAGGTTTCCAAATAAAATTGACGATCGAACTATTTGGGTAGCAAATTAAGGAGAAAACATAAAGATTTTTATTGTAGCATTATTTTGACACTATTAAAAAATTAACTTGAATTCAACTATATTTAATTGTATTAATTTTAAAGCAAATAAAATTGTATTTTAATTTTTCTATAAAGACGTGATTTGGTAACAGTTAAACTCTCGTTTTTTTTTAAATTCTTTGAACGTGTTTTTATACAGTATTACTACTTCCAATTTTTAAAATCTGAATAATTACCCGCGAGTAAAAATTCAAGAACGCTTATGCTCATTGCGGAAGCATCACATTCTATCGAAGCTTCAAAACATTGTGTGTTAAAGGTATCTTATTGCTGTGTCCATCTATGTTTATACGTCCATGGTTTTTACAAAGTATATATTGTTTGGTGATTATAAGTAATGCTGTTGAATTAGAATTGAACAAAGACTCATTTTTATTCTGCACTAAATGTGTATAAAGAATATACTGTGTGGAAACCACTTGATGTGGAATAAAATTGTTTACGTCCGTATTTTAGAAAATTGTAAAAAGCCCCGAGACCCATCAACTTTTAAATTCAAATTTGCGGCTTTAAACATAAATTTAAATGTACATGGTTCTTCACGAAAGTCAAACATAGTCCATAATATTTATTTGTAATGAAACCCTGTATATTTTTATTAAAAAGGTGAAAATTTAAAATTATATATACGTAGTTTTCATCAATACATTACAATAAATGCTCGAAATGGTCAATAAAACTCGTCCCGAACTTTGTTTAAAGTTTGGTTAACTGTCTTTGAGGTCTGCAATATTAGTTAGCTGTGATGCATATACTTTGTTCTTGAGATAATCCCATAGATAAAAATCCAAGGATGTAAGGTCTGGCGATCTAGCTGGCCACTCAATAGTACTTCTTCGTCCAATCCATCTATTTGGAAAGATTTCGTAATTTAATCGATAATTGCCCGTCCAGCTGGAACCAGACATTTTCCTTCGGTACGTTCGAGTCTATTGCGTTGGGATATAAGTTGGCTAACGTCTCTAATCATGTTTAAATATTTTTCGGCTGTCAAATTTTCATCTACAAATATAGGACCCACAATATCTGTGAAACCTGCCCAAACGTTCACCTTTTGTGGATACTGCAATTGCATAATTTTCATTTCCAGAGACTTGGTGTTACCTTTATACCAATGACATATAAATTAGTTATTTTAAAGTGCAGAGCATGTTTTGTAGGTCTAAGACGAAATAAATTAGACACGATATTATTCTCCTACTTCTCAATGTGCTATTTGTGCATTAATTTCAAATTACAGATTAATTAAACGAATTCATACCTTCTCTGCCTACATTAGTACCACCATTAGGACTACCGGCACCACCTTCTTCTCTCCGTGGGCTTCCAGGTGGGCTCTGACCGCCGCCTGGAACGATTTCTGTCCAATTAAAAATGTCGTTAAAATCGTTCATGCCGTCAATGCCTTCGGGCATTTCGTCATCGAATGGGCTGAATAATTCGTCGTCGCCAAACTCGGCAGTGATGTGCTGTTCTTGGAAGGCAGTTTGAGAAGACTGAGTGGTAGCACTGGTGGGAAATACCAGGATGTGCGTACAACTAACATCTTGTGGAGTAGAGAGCTGCGAGTTGACAGAAACCTAAAACAATCAATACATATAGATATACAGCTTTATACTTGTATTTGTAATTATGAGGATTACTCTGTAAACTCGTGATAAAATGGAAATATTATTTTATTTTATAAAAATTCTTGGTTAAAGTACGATCACAAATCACGAACTTCTTCCATCGCCACATTTGAAAGAAAAAGAAACATTAAATATAGATACAAAAATGTAGTTGAAGCTAGTTTTTCTGAAAAATGAACTGATAATTTTTGTTTTCAGTCTTCGCCTACATAACTTATATTTTTCTCATATTAACAAAGGCTTAAAAGTGTTGAGTGCTACTTCTAGATACATGATTCATCACCAGAATCAATATTTAACTTATATTTTGAATATAAACTTGGACCACTCCAATAAGATCTACTTTCCTTTCACTAAAAAAATTTGCAATTCATTACATACCAAGGTGATCATTGTCAAACTATAAATGTTGGTTAAAACTTTCATTTAAAATTTTCTGAAAGTACTAATGTTTTCAGAACAGACACTGATGCAAGTGTCTAACATGAAGCTGCCATGTTTAAATTCACAGAACCAGTAACAGTGGACAATGATTACGACAATAAAATCGCAAATATATACAGGGTGAGTCATGAGGAACTTTACATACTTCTACCATATGTAGAGTCCCTCAGGGAGCATATCATGTGGCCACTAAAAAATGTCAACTCGTCTTCTTTATTAATTAACAGGGTGATTTGTGTAATTGACCATTTATTTCATTTTACTGTAGTGTTTATACGGCTCATTTGATTTTTTTAATTTTTGCATGATACAGTACACTACTATCAAGCATTCGACTGGTATTAGCTAAACTAAAAAATTCCAGGACTGGCTTTGGAAAAATAAATTTAGGGATTCGTATTAAATATTACACCCTGTATATACTTTTTTTAAAATGCAATAAGTGATTTTCAAACTACATAAATAGCCAATGAAAACGACATATGCGACAATGTTGTCGCACTTTTATTAAATTTTTAGTGAACGATCAAATCTTACCAAAAATAGAACAACCATAAAGAAGTATCAAATTATAAGGTAATTAACTTAAAACAAATGTTATAAATTTCAAACATTTTAATTGAAATGATAAACTGAGTCACTGCACAACAAAAAACAGTAACTACTAACAATATTAATAATAATTCAAAATAGATTTTCGAAATGGAACCCTGCAGCCTGTACACATTTTGTTGCCGAATTGTTAATTGACGTATTGAATTACGGATACTCTGGATCGTTTCTAATAGTATTACAACAATGTATAATTCTATCAATTGATTGTTGTCGGTTATTAATATTCACTGCGTAAACTAGTTGCTTCAATCGTCCCCAAATATGGTAATCAACGGGATTGAAATCAGGGGATCTTGAAGGCCACAATAGGACCTACACGTCCTATCCACCTGTTGCCATAAACATTATTGTGATGTTGTCTCACTACCAGTAAAAAGTGTGGGGGTGCCCCATCATGCTGAAAATACATCCCTCGGATAGCAACGTTCGCGTTGGCAAGCAAATTCGGCAAAATATTTTGTAGAAAGTTCAAATAGACCTGCTCTGTTAAAGGACCATCAAAAAAGTGAGGACCTACTAATTGGTTATTTATGACACCAATCCACACGTTAACCGAAAACCTTAACTGAGAACGACGTTCTTGAATAGCATGGGGATTTTCTTCTGCCCACACATGTGAATTTCGTGAATTATTTATCCCGTCTCTGGTAAATTTGGCTTCATCTGTAAATAGTGTCCTTTATAGCGTTGGTCGATTATTGTTAATCCATCTACAAAATTCCAACCTATCGATCTCATCTCCAGCATGTAGTCGCTGAACCATTTGAATGTGATATGGGTATAGATTATTTTTTTGTAAGAGTCTACTTACTTTTGATTGAGTAACATTGAGTTCTCGACTTACTTGTCTAGTGCTTATTGTAGGGTTCATAGTAACGGCGTCCATAATGTCATCTTCCTGCGCTTCATCTACATGTCGCTCTGTTGTTCCACTAGGAAAAGTGCCATTTTCTCGCAAATAATTAAAAACTGACCCAAATGTTGGATGACTGGGAGTTCGATAATTGAAAAATCTCCTGCGATATTCTGTACTAGCAGCCCTACCATTCCCATTACAGAATCCATAAACAAATATTATGTCTGCATATTCTGTGGTCGAAAACTGATGTGGCATTTTGAACGAAAGTAACAAAACCTCTACCAAAACTAACACAATGTACTTAACGTAGATATGACAGAAGAAATATGTATTCTTGTACACATAAATAACAGTTGATAATGACAATAATGACAATGGGTATAAAATATCAAGAAACGTCAAACGGTCAACGCCAACCTTCATTTTAAACTTTTTTAGATTTATTTTTATTTAGTACAGTTGATGCAATGTATTATTATTTGACATAAAATTTTAATCATTTACAATCAACAAAAACTAACACATACAAGAGGTTTGACTTTTTAATCAATTTAATTTATTATTTATCGAAAATAATGCCCCAATACGATCTATGAGTAAAAATTTAAAATTAAAAAACAATTGATTCTATCGTAGAGATAATACAAAGTGACAGTAAAGATGTTAATTTTCTACGTATTAGATTATGTTGTAGGAACTCATTTTAATTAAAACGTTTGTTATAACATTTGTTTAAATTAATTACCTTATAATTTGATACCTCATTATGGTTGTTCTATTTTTGGTAAGATTTGATCGTTCACTAAAAATTTAATAAAAGTGCGACAACATTGTCGCATATGTCGTTTTCATTGGCTATTTATGTAGTTTGAAAATCACTTATTGCATTTAAAAATATATATATACAGGGTGTAATATTTAATAAGAATCCCTAAATTAATTTTTCCAAAGCCAGTCCTGGAATTTTTTAGTTTAGCTAATACCAGTCGAATGCTTGATAGTAATGTACTGTATCATGCAAAAATTAAAAAAATCAAATGAGCCGTATAAACACTACAGTAAAATGAAATAAATGGTCAATTACACAAATCACCCTATTAATTAATAAAGAAGAGGAGTTGACATTTTTTAGTGGCCACAGGATATGCTCCCTGAGGGACTACATATGGTAGAAGTATGTAAAGTTCCTCATGACTCACCCTGTATAAGTCTCAACTTTCTGCATCGTTTTCTTTTTTATTTTGTAAATGTATAATAATACAAATTTTCAGAAAATCTTCATTTATGTAAAATATAATAACCTGAATAATAATAAACTTTGGCATTTCAATTTTTTTTAAATATATTAAAACAATCAAAATTTTCTTACCTGACTGAATCGTTCATCTGGGGTAAACTGATCAGGCATCAGCCTAAGAACGGAATCCGGTTCAAGACTGACTAGACAGGCGCTTAGAATACACGGAACTGAACTTGGGTACATCATTGAACATTGATTACAGATCTCTTTAAGGTTTTTCGAAGCCTTTAGTAGATTTTTTCGACTGAGTAACCAACTCCAACCTTTTAGTTCCCCATGACCTATGAACAAAATAGAAATTTATGTATAATTTAGATCGACGTTAATAATATTGGATGAGCTATTAAAATACTATTTAAATTCTTTTAATTATACTGATGAGCAGAATATTTTTATAACAATCGCTTTTTTACTTTATCCGACTTTTCTTTATACCGAGGAGTAAAGCGTAAGTGTTTATTTTGTTGAACAGATTTTGAGTCCATTTTTATCATTATTTCTTCTTTTGTTTTTCCCTTTATATGCTTCTTTTCACTGTTCTATATTCTCTTCGGTTTTTCTGCATTTATATTTTATCTGAGTGGTTTTCTACTGAATTATCAGACTCACCTTCAACATGTTTAATCTAACCTGTCATACAGGGTGTAGACCATTCGAGACTTATCGCTGAAAATAATCGAATTTTATCCCCCCATTTTTTTCATAACATCACACATATTATTTTTGTATATATATATATATATATATATATATATATATATATATATATATATATATATATATATATATATATATATATTATGAAAATTAATAGATTAAATAGTTTTACCTATTCTTCCCAGCCTGCCGACAACTAGCCTCCATGGTCGCACACTCTGTGACATAACTCCCAAAATAAAGTTCATCAATTTCTCTAAGCCAATTCTTCTTGCCGACGCCTTTTTCCTTCTGCTTCGATTGGGAATATCAACGTTGATGGTGATGGTTTCAAATATTTCACCCTTTTCATCGGTAGCGACTGCCAACAACCAACTCTGGTCCTCGGAGAGACAGTAGCTAAGGTAAAGGACGGAAGCTTGTTCCTGAGCGCCTTTGCTGAAGGCGTCCGCTGGCTCCTGTTTGCCTCTCATAGGTGCTAGGATGTACGGTGGAGTGTACAGTTTATAGGCAGCTCGGTTCTTTTCCTAGAAAATTAAAAAAATAATTTTAAAACTGGAAACAGACATGAGGCGTGCATACTTACAAGATACCGTAAGTATCGTGTAGTTAGTCAGACCAATCGAACTTGCTCAAAAAGTCCTTGTACTTAATGAAGCAATTCCATTGTTATTTTTTTAGCTTCAAACATTAAACTCTTACCTATATAATTTAATATTTTAACTAATTTTGTCAATGTTTTAATTCTTGTGATACATCCATACAGAAATGTTTCAAAAATGCCTTTATGTACTTACTAATAGATGGTTAAAAGAGTATTAATATTATAACAACGAAACATTGCTTACGCGCATTAACTCAAGGAAGTAAGATGGTAGCAATCCCCTATCAGAAGAGTGATACACCGATACAGGTTCTAATTGCGAACTGAGCAAGTATGATGAACTCTTGTGAATTAAAAAAGTAGAATCTATAGAAATGTTCTATTGTGTAGAATTTACTCAACCACGGCGGTTGGAAATAAAATTATCTAAGAACTCGCAGTCTCAGTCTCTTCAATATCACCATAAAAGAAATAAAAAGACTAATGAAAGGATATAAGTAAACAATACAATATGCACTAAGACATGTTGCATCTTAATGCAGTAACTTAAGACTACAAACACTAAAAACTTCATGACTATCAAAAACAACAGAAGTGAAGATACTGCGTCTACAGCTGGAAGAACATTCCTGGATAGAGAAGGAATGGAAACTATGACATATGAGTAAAGTAATTTTCAAGGAGTATGAAGATAATAGGTAAATAAAGGAAGAAGGTAAAAGAATCTTATAACTTCTCGTAACTACTCATACCTTTAGAAGTAGGGGGCGTCCTTGAACATGACAGACCGACAAATTGTGACATTTACAGACAAACTGGATGTAAAGTGCACAAGATAGAGAGCTATGGAAGCATTCCGATACGCAAACGAAGAATGTTCGATACGCGACTTCCTATGATGATGATGACGTCCACAATGAACAAATTTTTAAGCTGAATGATAAAAGAAGAATGAAAAGGAAAAAGTAATAAACTAGATCAAAAATTCATATGAAATTGGTAAACTGGTAAAAATTTTACCAAATTTTAGGACTTTCAGGTTTTAATAATAAGAAGAGTTCAGAGTTGCTTAAAAGTATTAACTAATCTGTCCATAGTCACTACTTGGAATTTTGTGTAAAACAGTACATTGCAAATGGTATATTGCACAGAATCTATCTATCTATACAGCCCTTAACATCCATCCTTGGATATAGGCCTCCTCCTCCTTCTTCCATGCCTCTCTATCTTGGGCAATTTGCATCCATTTTGACCCGGCGTGTTTCTTCAGGTCATCTGACCATCGCATTTGTGGCCTTCCCCTTTTACGTTTGTGATTCCATGGTCTCCAATGTATAATTGTTTTAGTCCATCTTTCATCTTTCTGCCTTAGGGTGTGTCCGGCGAACTTCCATTTAAGCTTTGCTACTTGGGTTGAGACATCTTTCACTTTTGTATATTGCACATGTTGTATTTTGTTATATTGCACAGAATAGCTGGTAATAAAGGGAAGATCGTTATTTTGATGACATATATAAAATCTCATCTCCAACAAAGTTCAGCTGTGACAATTTGCAATCTTTTGTACATCTGGAATTGAACCTTATCTTGTAAAAATGATTTTTATAATATAAAATATTCTTATTTAAAAGTATTAATCATTAATGATTATAAGTGATGGGTTCGATCGTTTCTTCATGGAAATTAATTTTATCTAACAGTAAAATACTGAAAACTTTTGATTTTAGTGATCTATTTTTGAGGAGGGGAGAACTGTGTCTCATGTTGATCATTCAGAATTATGTCTGTATTTTTTAATTTGTTAATTTCCATAGTCAAAAATAGCTTAAGGCCTTTATTTTGCGGTCTAATAATTTAAAATTGGTCAGTAAAATAATGATTACGGTCTAGAAGGAGAAGTACGTACGTAGAATCTGTTTTTTTATTATTGAAAGCCCTTTTGTGTTCTGCTATAAGTTTGTTAAAAATTATGCCAGTTTGACCAATATAAGTTTTTGGACAGTCCCCACACATTTAAATTTGTATACACCAACGTGTAAGTGCTTTTTCTTTTGGCTTTTGTTGTTTTTAATATATTTGCCTAAATTGTTGTTCTTTCTAAAAGCTGGTGTTATTCCTTTCTTTTATATATATTTGGCTGTTTTTGTTGATATCTTGCCTGTATATGTAATCGAGCAGAAGGTATTGGGTTTTTTCTCTGGTGGCGGAAATATTAATTCAGAGCTGTCTTATGTAGTTTTTGATTTAAAATTTTATTTATTGTAAACAATGAGTACAACGAAAAAACATACGGGGACCTGCCAAAACTCTATAAATAGAAAAGAAACAAAATAACGAATAAACAGTAGAATGGTGTAAAGCTATGATCACGACGAAGCAATAATACCGTGAGGTAATTTGCAAAACTAAGTAATGAACTTAACATGGCAATATTTTGTTTATTATTTTCTTTAATAATTATCTATATTTTGAAGGAGACCTAACAAAAGTTGGAACAAAAGATAACCCATTAAATTTAAAATTTGAAAAATTAAAACTAGTGGCTTTTTATCAGTATAAGCAGTACGAAGCATTAATTATATTTGAAATACTTCTATATAGTGAATATAAGAGTAAAATGTATTGTTAAAATCGTATTTTAAATTTTTTATTTTTCTTTACTTCAGATCTAATGATGATTGTTAGTTCGTTACGATGAAATTTGAAAATAAAGAAATTAAAGATATAAATGTTGTCTGTCTAGTAGTTTCTATAGCAGATCTAAACAATAAAACATAAAAATTACAGTTCAGTATATTTCCTATTCACGGACTTTCTAATTAGAGATTATTATATTAATTATAATATAATTTATTTTCCTATACTTTGGTTTTATTAATATATTCCATATACATCTTTATGTAGTCTACAACTACTCATTGTAACTGCAATTTTTTTGTTAGTGTGAAATTTTTTGTATGACTATTTTGTTATTTTTTAAATGTAGCATAATTCTAGTAATAATGGAAAAACATGGTACTTCTGATCAAAACAAATTAGACCTTTCAAATTGACCTACACCAAACCAACCAAAAACCAACTTACACCAACAGATATCTAAATTACCACTCAAATTATAACATAAACATCAAAAAGGGAATTATCAAAATATGATTTGACAGGGCTCAAAACATCTACTTTAACTAACGTGTTAACAAAAAATCACAGAAGTAGGTATTATCGTAAAAAAACTGTGAAGGCATGATGGTGTCACCACATTCCAAAAGGGATTAGGACTGAAGAGGAGGAGGAGGAGGAGGAGGTACTAATCTAGGCGCTAATATCAATAGCAAATACTGCTACACTGAGATTAAAATTGGGATCAGTATGGCTAAAACAACGTTTGCCAGACTGAGAAAAGAAAACTTGCCTTAGAGTTACAGTTGCGGCTAAATGTTATATCTAGCCCATACTATAAGCTGCCTAAACTTGGTCAATAAAAGTTGGAACATTGAACAGCATCGAAGCTTTCAGAACTTTTCAGTTTACTCAAAATATCATGAACTGAGCATGTTACCAGCAAAAACCTATTGAAATTGGCAAGCACAGAGAGATAGAAAAACAGATAATTCCAATGCAATCAATAATGAATCCCTTTTATTACTAAAGTAGATATGAAAAAAAAAAAAAATGAACGGTCGACCCTGCTGTGCTGGAAGTACATAGGACTATAAGATGATGCAATAGAAAAAAGTATACAAAACGTTTATGGTATGGACATGGAAACGGAATTTTTTATTGCTACTTTAAATTTCAAATAATTTCATTTTTAAATAAATTCTCTCACACTCAGCTGAAATAAAACGGCTTTAAGAAAGAGTGGAGCGCAGTCAGAAAATTATATACACATTCTCACTGAATCGCCTAAAAACTATTTTAACGAACAGAAAACACACACTATAGAACAGTAGGTCTAAATATGTGTAAACCTACTCATCTCTAAACTTACAACAATAATAAATTACTTACGTCTTTGCTCTTGAGGAACTGATCGGCCATTGCAGCTGTTCCAAAACCTGTTAGAGATTTAACGTTATTGGAGTGTAAAAGTAATCGCCGACATTGTGAGAAGATGTTCAAAGCCAATGCCCTCATGTGATCGCTGTGTCGATTTCGGTTCCTTGCTTTGTTCAACTCCACTATGCTTTCTAACGAAATTATCTAAAAAGAAATGATCGTTTTATCAAAATACTTTAATTAACAACAAAAAAATGATTAATTATTTTTGGTAAAATAGATTTTTTAGCTTATGGAAGTTAAAGATAACAGTTATGTGTATTTTTTTCTCCTCATAAAGAGACAAACATATTTGATTTTGTATGAAAATGAATAATGATGAATAAATATTCAAATTATTTATAACATCATTTTATTCCACTTCTTTAGATGTTTTGCTATTTTCTGAAAGTTTAAATTGTCTTAGTATAGATATTTCTATGATATTTTACTGTTTGTAATACGTCGGTCAATAAGTTCCGAACCTGATCATGAGATGGTAACTCTAATGAATTTTCCATTTGACATTTCGGTAGTCTCAATCTTGAAAAGCCTAATTTCAAAATTTCATGACATTCGGATTATTATCTACCTAGTTACAGTGCGAATACATCTACCTGAGACAGATCATGAAAGTTAACAAAGAAAATCAAACTGTCGAAATTACCAGAAGAATAAGGTTAGCGTGAACAGGATTTAGAAAACTGAGTTGGATTTTGGAAAGCACTAAAATAGAACTATACTGAAAACCAGAATTTACGATCAGTGTATCCTCCCTATACTCACGTATGGCTCACATACGTGGACACTCTTCTTCTTCTTCTTCTTAGCCTTCTGTCGTCCATGTTTGGACATAGGCCTCTCCCAACTCCTTCCATCGGTCTCTATCCTGAGCAACATATTTCCCATTTGTTCCGGCTATTCTTCTAATGTCATCAACCCATCTCATCTGTGGTCTTCCTCTTGGTCGTTTACTTTCGTAAGGTCTCCAATGTTGTATTGTAGTATTCCAACGTTGGTCATTCTGTCAAGCAGTGTGGCCCGCGAAGCTCCATTTAAGTTTGTCAATTTTTGTTGTTATGTCCTCGACTTTTGTTTTGGATCTTACCCAGTCGTTCCATTAAGAATGAGTGGTGCCGACCCATCTTTTCCGAGGGGTGTTGGCTGAACTGAGTAGGCCGCTAACCTCGGTTACAATGATGGACACGGTACATTCTTATACCCCACCAACCGTCTGGCCAGCGTGGTGGGTTATGGCCAAAACCTCCAAAACCAAACCAAACATGTCGACTGCAACGTGGACACTCACCAAGTCTAATATGGATAAAATAGTGAAAGGCACAAAGAGCGATGGAAAGATCAATGCTCGGGGTGAGACTTATAGACAAAAAAAACAAACAAATGGATCAGATTCAAAACCGAAGTAAAAGACGCAGGAGAACATGCTGCCAAATTAAAATGGAGCTTCGCAGGACACAATACCCCACTGAAGGATAAAAGAGGGAATCACCAAATACAATAATGGAGACCATGGTTAGCTAAGAGAAGCAGAAGAAGACCACAAATGAGATGGGCTGATGACATTAAGAAGATCGAAGAACACAACTGGAAGCAGGTGGCGCAAAATAGAAAACACTGGATTGATTTGAGGGAGGCCTATGTCCGAAGTTGGATTACTTAAGGCTGAAGAAAAGAAGTTACGGTGCTTGAAGTGACGCTACTTTTGTGATTTTTATAAACAATAGACTTAATTAATTTATCACTACTTTTTGATGGGAAAAAATACCATCCGAATTGAGCAACGGCTCAAAAAGTGTTAACGGAACTTTCGATTAAAACCGTTACACGATGATTTGCTGAATTCAACCGAGGATGTACCGACATCAACGATCTTTAGCTATCTGGAAAGCCAACTGATGCAGTTATTCTCGAAAACATCGAAAAAATGCTGAAAATTATTACGAAAAACCGCAAAGTGACGTTGCAAGAGACAGTTGACACACTAAAGTTATCCAAGGGTAGCATTTTAAATATTATGCATGAACATTTGGGTATGATAAAGCTGTTTTCCAAATTGGTGCCGCGTTTTCTCACACCAGAGCAAAAACAACAACCAATTGATGAGTTTCGGCGCTGTTTGGACATGCTTAATCGAAAAAAAAAAAAAAAGAAAAATTTTTTCCTTGTGGATTTTGTTAATCGGAATAAGTCCCGAGTTTTTGCATCGTTACGTGGCAATGGATAAAACATGGATCCATCGCTCCATTCACTCCGAAATCAAATCGGCAGTCATCTGAGGAGACAGCATCTGGATTAAACCGTCCCAAGCGACCAAAGATGCAACAAACCGCCGCAAAAGGTTATGGACTCTGTATTTTGGGACCCTCAAGTAATTATTTTCATTGACTACTTGAAACATGAAGAAACAATCAACAGCGACTACTATATTGGTTTATTGGAGTGTTGAAAGGTCTAAGTTGCAAAGAAAAGCCTCATTTGTTCAAAAAAATTGTTATTTCACCAAAACAATGCACCGAGGCACAAGTCGATGAAAACGATGGTAAAAATACACGAAATAGGCATAGGAACTGCTTCTGTATCCATCGTGTAGCCCAGATATGACCCCCAGTGATTACCACCTTTTTCCAGTCTAAAAAAATGCTCTGTGATGAGAGATATCGCTCCAATGAGAAAGTAATCGCCGAAACTGAAGCCTATGTTGAAGGTAAATATAAATCGTTTTACAAAGCGTTGAAATGAGTATATCGCTGCCAAAGAAGATTATTTTGATGAATAAATAATTTTTGCAAAAAAAGATGGACTGGACTTATTGACCGACGGGTTATGTTCTCAAATTTATTCTTTTATTCTTCCATCCATTCCAATAGTCCTAGCCACTCTACCAGGAATTTTTTTTGATTTATTTAGATATTTTTTTTCGTTATATAGTTAATAGATGCCTGGATCAAATTGTTTTTTAAATATTTCCTCTATTTCCTAGTTAAAAACATTTGGAAGATATTATTGTCATCTTTTTAGTATCTAAAAATGTCAAATAAAGGATTTACTTACCTGAACACTAATATTATTCCTGATATTTTCCGGAACCGCAGCTAGAATAGATTGGTAACATCTCAAAAGTGCCAAACAAGCCAACCTCTGTAGTTCAGGTTGATCAGAGCCAAGTGTGAAAGGTTCCACGAGATAAACAATTACGGATGGTACTTCTCTTTCATCATCGTCGTGTGAGACTGGATCAGAATTATTACTTATTGGAGATGAATCTTTAAGGCCATCGCCATCTGGAAAATGAACAAAAATTTTACAATCTAAACATAAAAATTTCTAATCAATCGTTCAATAATAATTACTTAAATTATGATCCGCTCGGAGAACCTTAGCGTCTATGTTAACGATGTCAAGTCCAGATAAAGGAGGAGGGTTCTTAGTGAAGCTATTAACCTACCTGGAGTAAAAAGGTCTATATACACAGATTCAGAAAATTGTATCAGGATTGGACTGATTTAATGACGAACCATGAAAAGAAAATAACTAAAGAGTTTGAAAAACAAATACATCAAGAATGAGCGGTTTTATGAAACTTACTCACAATCGAGGTCCTGATATTCTTTATGTATATAAATTTATTCAAACTAAGAAAAAAAAATAAGAAGCTCTAACAAGTCCTCTAAGCCGTTTATGAAAGAGTGCATACAAATATATTATTTTTATATAAAATACATATACAACACATAATACATAACGATATAATCAAAACAATCAATTATTATATCATCCTGGAGGTACAAACATCACTTTCGGAATTATCAACTAAAAACAAAGCTATATGCTTAAAGATCGAGGCCAGAAAGGCAACTGCCAATTTGAAAATCAATACATCACAAGAAAACAGTGTCAGAACCTTTTTAACACACACATGGACAGAGGTTGGACTATTAGTTTGACTAAATCAATGTTTTCAGTTTTAACTTTGTCTAGCGACTGGTAAATATTTTGAAGAACACCAAAGACGGTAAGAAAATCAAATATACCTTGTTAAAAAATGATTAAAAGAAAAAATACATTTACGGCATCAATTTTTAGTAGGTTTAGTATTAAATTTGGTTGAATATTAGTAAAACCATTTAAATTTGTTTACCTTGATCGCTTTTTGGTGTTGGAGCTTTGTCCGAAATAGTAGAACTAGATGATTGGCTTCCTGCATTTTCCGGTGTACTTGGTGGTGGCATAGGACTTGGTGTTGGTTGGTCTGTAGTACTATCTTGAGGTGGATCCAGCAATGTCTTATCCATAGGAACTTGCTGGAGATGAGGCGCTAGGTGATGTTTACAAACCTAAAAATATTTTATTATTTGTATGCTATTTCAACGCTTCTTCAAAACAATTCAACAAAAATTCTAAGAGCATTGCTAAGTTTCTTACCTGTGCATATAATTTTAACATGTCTGTCGTCTCTCCTTCTCCTAATAAAGTAAACCATTCTTCGACAGGTTCGTTTCCTAGTTTCGTCTTCGCCGTTTTTCCCACCCTTAAAATACCGTCTCTAAGTACTTTAGTAATAGGACTGTGCCTTCCTAATTTGCACATTTCGTAAGCTGTGGAAAGTTCCCTGAAGAAGGTCCTTACTCTAGGTAAAATAGCATCATTATCGGGAGCAACAACGATATACGCAACATCTCTCGCGTATGAATATGGTTCCAAAAGTAAAGTTTCCCAATGCTGAAGGGCATAAGGAGAGAGCGACAACCAGTCTTTGTCGTGACCGACTATTACTGATGGTATTGGTTGGGGTTCACATCTGTCATCAGTGCCTAATAAAAAAAAAACAAATATACATATTTTTATGAAAGTATACAAAACTAAAGAAATTTTTATATTTATTTTTTTTGTTGTGTTTGTTATTATTAAGAGGAGGCTTTTGTAAAATAAACTTAAAAAAATTGTACGGAAAGACATAAAAAAGTTTTTCCGTCATTTTAAATCGCAATATAACTAATAGATGGCGCCATACTATGAATAAGCAAGGAAGCTATAATTAACAAAATCAATGTCAGTATTGACAGATTGACATAAGCTTTAATTGGTATTACGACTCCAAATAATAACAACGAAGTTTCACCACAATCAGATGGGAAGATGTGTCAATGAAGCAGTTTGAAGCATCCCACTGTAGTTAATTTGGTTGTTCACCTGGTAAATGGATAACAACTTTATTTCAGAAGAGAAAACGCAACGCAAAGAGCTGAACGATCACCCACGACAACGTCGAAATGTTACATTTTCTTAAAGGGAGACTTGACAACATATATATTGTTAGATAGATATTAAGATATATTACTGTCAGATAGATATTAATGAATACAAAAATATTCAAAAAATTAATACAAAGAAAGGAAAAAATCAATCAAATAACTTGGTTAAATATCAATTAATAATATTAAATAAAGGAATAAAGATAAGAGAACAAAAAATGGGAGTATGAAACTAGATATTCGAAACATAATTAAAACAAGAAAAATAAGATGAAAATATGATGGAATGAGAGTATGAGAAACTCATACTACTCTACAAATATTCATACATGTTAGTGTTAATTGACATGTGTGAACAAAATCGTGTATATACGAATAACATGATAAAACGATAAATGAAGCTCAGCTTTTCTGATACTCTAAGCGAATTTAAATCTTTAAAAAATTAAAACAACGTGTCAACGATAGTCAAATAAAATTTAGGTAATCGCTATTCCTACCTCTACCAGCAAGCCTGTGGAACTGTCTCCATGTAAGTGGTCCCTTGACAGCAGAAGGTGCTTCCCACAGCCTCGTCTGGCATTTCTTTTGGATGGCTTCTTGCAATAGAGGTTGCAAACTTCTCATCACCCTGACTATATCTTGATTACATTGAGGTCCAGTGGCCCTAAGGAAAGGCCATCTGTGTACTGTGATGGTCTGAGAGGCTTTAGGTTGTTTGATATCTTCCATCTAAAAATTAAACATATTGCAATGAATTACGGCGAATATTGTAATTAATTTAAAAGTTACATTTTTTATTGGTATGACATGGAGGTTTCTAATTTTTCAGAAAACACAGAAATTAATTCAGAAAAATATTGTTACACTCGGGGGAATGCCGAAAGAAGTGAAAACTTTCATAGATAGGTCTTTTTATTCCATTATATTTTTTTGCTTAAATCTATTCAAAATAACCATACAATGTAATTTCATCTATTTTTTAATAATTTAATCATTCAAAGTTAATGTTAATATCAGAGAAAGTAAAGGCAATAAATTCAAGGATTCAAATCCGGAACATCCTACGTAGGCGCCATATGTGTATTAAGACAAATCACAGAAAAGGCCATCGTGTACAATAAACCAGTATATCTATGTTTTATATATAACGTTCATTAAAACACAGTGACTTAGATGGGCTGGACACATAATACGAATGCCAGAAAATACCATTGCTAAAAAGCTAACCACAGGAACACCTGTAGGAAAAAGAAGTAAAGACCGACCGCGAATTAGGTGGTTAGATGGAGTAGAAACCGACTTACGAATATTAAAAATCAGAAGATGGCAACATGTTGCCAAAAACCGAACAGAATGGCGACGAATCTTAGAGCAGGCCAAGATCCACAGAGGATTGTCGAGCCAAAGATGATGATGATCTATGTTTTATAAACCTGACAAAGGCTTTCGATTGCATCCAAGCCGAAGACGTCTTACACCTACTGTATAAAAGAAACATACACATCTGAAGAAGTTAAACGGAGGGTACTGCTAGCAAACAAATGTTATTTTGGACTAAGCAAGCAGCTAAAAAACAGAAATTTAAGCCAGAAAACCAAACTAATAATATATCGAACACTCATATTACCAGTGCTGACATATGGGTCAGAAACATGGACCATCTCCAAAACAGACGCAAATCTTCTGCTCGTCTTCGAAAGGAAGATACTAAGAAGAATAATGGGCGCATTCTGTGAGAATGGTATTTGGAGAAGGCGATATAATTTCGAATTGTACGAGAAGTATAAAAAAATAGTAAATGGTAGAGATGTAATATCCTTCATAAAAATAGGTAGGCTTAGATGGGCTGGACATGTGTCAAGAGCAAATGAAAATTACCCACCCAGACGAACTCTATTATCGGTCCCAGTGGGAAATAGGAGTAGAGGCAGACCACGACTGAGATGGAGGGACGGTGTGGACGAGGACGCAAGGAGAATCGGCGCGGCAAATTGGCAACGGTTGGCGATGAACAGAAACGACTGGCGAAATAGACTGGGGAAAGTCAAGGCTCGACTAGAGCTGTAGTCCCACTGATGATGATGATAAAAGAAACATACCAATTATTATTATACAAACCATCGAAAACATCTACCTCCATAATCGAATACAGGCAAAGATAAATGGAGAACTAACACAGTATATACCAGTACAAAGCAGAGTCAGACAGGATGATTCGTTAAGCCCACACAAGAAGAGATAAAAGACGAGCACCTAAGATTAACACACATCTTTAATACAACAGCCAACAAATATATTATGATAATATCAGCAGAAGAAACCAAATGTATGACAACATCTAAATACACACTACAATATAAAATCGAAATTGATGGGAAAATAATAACACAAGACACAAAAGCAAGAATCTATAAAGCAGCAATTAGACTTATATTAACATACATGGCGGAGACAAGACTTGACATATCTAAAACGGGACTACTACTAGAAACAACACGAGATGAAAATACTTGACGAATATCAGGGAAAAATCTGTTGGATAGGGAGAGAAGCGAAAACAGGAGTGGAACAAACACATTAGTAGAATGACAGGATAGGATAGTATGAATAGTATGACATACGTCATCAAATGGACGAAGAAGTATTGGCAGACCAAGAAAAAGATGATGCAGTAATTTAAACAATTTAGGAGGCTAATATTGAAGAAGAAACAAGCTTTAAAGCCTACATACAAGAAGGAAGAAGAAGTAAAGGCATAAGAATATGAGAAGACCTAGTGCCCCAAATTTAACCTTGTACCTACCAAAAATAACCGAAATAACAAGTTTCAAGACTCTTGAGCTTTTTCTTGAACAGAGAGAAGATATAATAATATGAGAAATAAAGCGACAAGATCAATATAGTTCTTTCTTACACGAAGAGGAACATATGTAGCTAGTTTTAAGATTACTCTTTCTTCAGGAAAAAGAAAAGAAATATGAATATAAAAGAAGAAGACCTATTCTCAAATTCAATAGGATTCTTGCTTATACCACGAGGAATGTATGTAATATGTCTCACAACTCATAAGTTTTAAGCCTCTAGGACTTTTCTTCAATAAAAAGAAATTGTGTCCTTAATAATCACAACTTAATAATCAATGAAATCATCTAAATCAAAAACTAGAAAAATTTAGGTCAATAAACAGCTAATTTGTGTTTATAATCAAATGTACTAAGTTGAGATTTGCGCCAAATGTATGCAACTTAAGTTACATTATAAACGGACTATATTATGTTGATGCAAGTTGAAATTTCCATCCAACTAAAAAAGAACAGTTTTGTCAAGCCTGTCTACAACAGTTTTCACTTCAAATATTTAATGTAATTAACAAAAGGTATGTTTCATGTAAGTACCAATTTAAACAAAAATCACTTCGATCTTGTTTTACTTGCATTTTTGCTTATATTCATTAATTTATAAGTAACACGTCAAATTAACACGTTTAATGCCGCCGTATATGACCATTAAGATTTTTTTAAGTCATTTGCTATGTAATCTCACGATCTGGGTGAAAATAATGCAGCCTTTTACCATTTCTTTGGTCAGCTTCCTAATTTTACTTATACTGTTTAACCTTTTTATTTTAACATAACTTACTATGTCTATTTCCCATGTTTAATCTTTTATTTCTTTGTTGGTTATCTTCTATCTTTCTTTCTCATTAGCTGTTTGGTGGATGTTTGTTTTTGTTGGTTTGTTTTTTTTTTCTCTTATGTGTTTCACCTTAATTTTTTTTTTAGATTACTTCTTTCACCTTTGCCTTCTACAGCTATGTAAATTTCAACACAGTATTCTCTGTTTATTCTTATATATTCAGTTCTTACTATGATTAAGTAACCTGATGATTCCTGTACTGATATTTTTGTTCTAAATATATTGTTGAATTACAGTTGAATTATGTATGTAATTCAAGTCGAATTAGATTAAGATCTTTATCAATAACACATCTATTTTCATTCTGTAACTTTGGGTGAGTTATCATTCTTTTTATAGATACTATATATAATATAGTTACTATATTAAAAAATAACTAAAAGTAGAATTCTCACTGATTCCCAATGTTTGAATTTGTTTTTTTTTTTGAAATTATACATATATATTTCTAGAATTCAAAAATACGAGTAATACTCACCTTGCACAAGCCCATATTTTCCAAACAATTTTTACTCTGTTCCAACGCTATACAGGTCACATCGTGGCTATCAGAATACTCCAGGAGATGAATATTACTAGTATGAATGTTAACCTTCGTCCTCATATAACCTCCAGCCACTCGACATAATGAATTTGTGGTGTTAGGAATGAATACCAGTTGTTCTCGTACCAACTCTATAAGGCTGTGTGGCATAACATCGATTTGGTCACGGTCGATGCTCGGATCTAGTTTCACAGAATTTGTGGCAATAAGGAATGACAGAAGAGACGATTTTTTCTTTTCTCCTGGATCCTCAGATATACCTGTAAATTATTATTTGTAAATAAACGTTTTACTGAGCAAAGATGTTTGCTACTATATACAAACAGTATAATCAAATATAAATAAACTTTTAAATAAGAATATAAAATATATTTACATAATGTGGATATTTCCAATTATAAAAATTAGTCGGGAGCTGTATAATATTTTGTAGAATTAATAATAATTAAACGTTAATAAATGTAAAAATAGAACATAGCAATCCTGTTATACAGATTTTAAAATCATTTCCTTTTCAGACAGGCCTGCCAGCCATGGAACGAGAAATATTTCCGTTCACATTTCGATAGCTGAGACAGTACAATTCGGTCAGTACTTTGAGGATGCCATCTAAATAAATCAAATGTAATACAGTGACATTATCTGTGCATTTATTTGAAGATAGAAGTTAAATGGTGAATTTAACCCACTACTTTATTAAAAATATATTGATATACAAAGAATATGCGAATAGAAATACTCAATGTTGTTCATTTACCGCCATGTTCTATAATATTTCGGGATTTGTCTCTCTTCAAACAGGCTTGTAATGGACGAGACAAAAATAGCTCATGTTCACATATTCATGGCTGAGTCACAACTTTTCTGCCAGTGCGCTAATAGTAAATTTAAAATTATCAATATATGATTGGTGTTTCTAGTATTCCAATGAAAATATCTAACGTTATTATTTAATGACTGTCAAAGAAAATTTTAGTGTCCCAGATTTGTTTATACTTGATTTATTTAAATAATTATATAATCAACCACCTCTGTGGCTCAGTGGTAAGAGCGCCTACCTTTAAACCTAAAGGTCGTAAGTTCGAATCCCATCTGGGTAAAGAAATTTTCGTTTATTAAAAAATTAATGAATGAAAATAATTTCTATCCATGTGCGATCGGTACTCACCGGAGGGACCGCAGACGTTCGGATACAATTAGCGTCTCTTAGCAAAGACAATGACGTCGACTTTGCTAAGTATCAAGACAATTACTCTACACATACACACACGCTACACTAGGTACCTGACTGTACCATGCCAATGATCATAGTTGTCGAGGCATTAACTCAATAAAAAAAAATTATATAATCAGCCAAAAACAAAAATTTAATATCAAGTGGCAGGTTCAGAATTTGTAAAATTCAAAATCCATTAAAATTTTACATAAGTTTTTTAATGTAGTGAAAACTTCCTGGAAAACACACACACAGCAACACATACATTTACGATATACGTCTGAAGAAATAGACTCAGAAGAAAAAAGGAAAAAAGAACAAAAGAAATAGAGGCTTTTGCGGCCAGTGTTGTAATGGTACATTGTTTTTGGGATTTAAAGAACCTAAATCCTAATTTTCAGTTAACTGTAGAAATAGAGAAAAAACTGAATGCATCTCACCTGTAATTTCTACCTCGTCTTCATAGAACAGTCCACTACCGTATGCTAATCTTCTATTAACAACAGCCGAAAATCCACAACTACACCTTATTGAATCTTCATCATTTGCGTGATGATCTTCGTTCATCATACTACCATACGGTGGCGGTTGTCCCATATTACTACCTGGATAGGGACTACTTGGTTGTGCGCTTGCATGCTGTTTGTCACTCTGGGTGTTAAGTAAGTAAATGCCCGCGTCTGCTCCCCTAATGTTACCAACCACCTAAAATTATAAAAAAAATGGGTTTTTTCGTCAATATAAGAAGATACATAGTTTCATTTTTAATAATTATAAAAAAATATTACATTATTTATATAATGTTATATTATATACAACAATAAATGAAAAAATGAAAAAAAAATGAAGGTTTTTAATCATTTATACCAATGTTGTCTGGTATTTACTGGAATTATTTTTATGAATTTAGAAGTTTTACTTTATTGTTGGGTTTTAGATTGCTATTAGTTATATTTGTTTTACATTTTAATCACCAGTTTTTTCATTTGATAATCTCTGTAACATAAAAATCTTTCTTAGAGCTTCCTTTCTTATTTCTAGAATATTTCTTTACAAACACATTTAAATTGATATCCTCTTTTAGTGTTTTTTCGTCAGTGGAGATATCTTTGAAAAGAGCCTATTTTATTTGGGTCTGATGTCTACCAGATCTGTATGATTTCCTTTACCTTTATTTTTATCTTCTTATGGTGCCCTATCCAATTAATGGGTGTTGGCGACAATTCTTGCATACTCCTCTCGATCTTTATCTCGAGGTTTGTGCAATCCCTTATGTTTTTAAGCCATGAGTATTTCTTTCTTCCGATTCCCCGTTTTCCACGGGGCGCAATATCAGTATGGAGTAACATTTTACAAAGCAATATTGAAGTGTTATCTGCTACATATCTCTAGATCTTCAGTTATCCAACTACCGAGATATCTGAACTTGGGACATTTTGGATGTTCTTATTTTTTTTTATCCAGTGTTTATTCTATGTATTATTCGTTGTAACACTTCTTGACTGTATCATGACTGTATCATCAGCATAGCAAAGATTACTAATAGTTGTCCAAAATCCATTGATTTTGATTCCATCTTCAGTATCACTATGTCATAACGTAAGGCTCTATCGAAAATAGTTTCAGAGTAAAGATTAAAAAGGAGGGATGACAGAACACTAACCTGTCGTACACCTTTTTCGTTTGAGAAATATGAGTCTACTCCAGTCTTACTCTCACAGACGCCACTTGATTCATATAAAGATTCTTTATGATTTTAAGGATTCTCGGTATTTCGCTTTCTGGTAATCTATAAAGCATAGGAAGACATCTTTTTGCTGATCTCTGCATTTCTGAAGTAGGACAGTTAAGCTATAAAGGCAGTGTCAAAATTCAAAGGTTGGTGCATAGATTTGTATATTGTTAAGGTCAACGGGATCGGCTTGGACTTGTAGTAGTGCTGATCTATCTGAGTATGCCACGAATTTCCTTACTGATTTGTTGGAGGTTGTGTTAATAGAAATCCAACTACGTTATAATGATGGGGTAGGTTATTTCTTGGGTTAGGCCATCTGATTTCGCAAGTTGAAGTCCTATGATGTCTAGGTCACATTGTTTATCATCATTTATCATCATTTATTCTTATGCAGATTGAAATTATTTTACATGAATACAAATTTAACTTCCTCTTGACAATCAAAAGCTGACAAAAACTTCATTGTGTTCTAATTTATTGAGATAATTCTGCTCATAAGGCAATGTAGAAATTATTAATGAAATATGCAATTTTTTTATGTTTATTGGTTGATTGAAAACAAACAGCTTACCTTTCCTGCAGCATTACAAACACACAACGTGCAACTATCGAAATTGTGATCTCTGAATATGTTAAAGGCAGTGTCGGTGAGCAGAATGTTGAGCACAAGACTTGATGCTTCTGGAGTTCTCTGAGGAATGCCTGGTGTTGGCGTTGGTGCAGCCTCCACGGAATTGAGATTCTTATTGAGGTATGAGCTGGCCGTTGACGTTGCTGGACTTGCCATTTCATATGGTGGTGGGGGCGGTCGAAAACTACCAGGTGTTCCGGCGCTATGTAACGGACTAGGAGGAAAGAGGTTTGTATTCTAAAAATAAAAAAGTGTTACATAAAATCAATTCCTCGTACCATATATTAATGATAATATTTTGTTATTTCCAAAAATGCGTTTTTGTGGATAAACAAGAATTTGGGTATTGCTTGAGAGCTTAAATAAAGCCGTAAGGGCTGTGATAGATGTGGCTTTCTGATTGGTTTTATCTAGATCTGGTCGCTTTCTTTGACGCCACTTGATTCGCTGCCTGGAAAGCATAGATCCAGAGCTCCTAGGCCAGAAGTTAGCAGCTGTAATCTACTTTTTCCACCAAGGTAAAAGAAAAAATCGGAAATAGATCGTTCTGATGCATCTCTTACTAAGAGCGATAAACAAACGAGTCTTATTTATTGTACCCTCATCTTAAAACATTCTTCACAAAAAATAATTACCAATGGAAAATAGAAGAATTTCGGATAAAAGGAGAAATATCTTAATAAAACATGTCATAAAATTTAAGTGGAAATTCTTCGACACTATTAAACAAAAATTTTAGATGATCTAAAAGCCACCATAGATACAGATTCTTCCAAAGAGCTAAAAGAATCAAAGAGGAGTGCTATGTCTAATATGGATGTCTGAAATATAATAAATCAATATAATATACATGGAATACATCATGCATGGCACATAATTAGAAAATGCCCTATAATTCCTGTAAAAAATTTATTTCTATAGAAAATAATTTCATTCTTATATTCAATATTTATCAACAAAAATATTTATTTACCTGATGAACACTATTAGGTAATGAAGTAGCTGGAGTATTCTGGTTGCTGGAAGTGGTAACGGTGTTGTTAACCTGTTGATTGGTTTGTTGTTTTTCAACATGTTGCATCCATGATGGTTTGTACGTAAAGTTAGGTGGCAGGGAGACTTGTGGTAAACTTTGACTTGGTAAGTCTGTCAGAGGAGCATATTTACTGCTACCCACCATCTTGCATGTTATTGGAGGTTTGAACACAAAACTCCAATCTTCTACAAATAAACAAAGAAAAAATGCTTTTTAATTTAAATTGATAAAAGCTACTTTGTGAAAATGTCTTAAAATAAAAATATGTTTGAAAACAGTCTGATACAAAAATTAGGTAGGGATATTTGATTAAAACTAATCATCATCATCATCTTGGTGCTACAGCCCTTAGAGGACCTCGACCTTCTCAAGTTTTCTGCGCCATTCTGTTCTGTCCCTTGCTTGCATTTTCCAGTTGCCGACTCTGATCTTCTCCGCATGCAGGCGGTTTCGCTTAATTATACTGGTAATATCTTTACCACCAAATGTATGCTTGTAGATATTCTGCAGTTCAAAATTATATCTACGCCTCCATATTCTGTTCTCACAGACCGCTCCGAATATCTTGCGTAGCACCTTTCTTTCAAAAATCGATAGAGCGGATGCATCTGTTTTAGTTAGCGTCTATGCCTCTGATCCATACTTGAGAACGGGGACTATCAGTATTCTATACAGCCTTATACGAGTTTTTTGAGACAGACGTTTGTTAGCTAAGTACTTTGATACACCATGATAACACCTGTTTGCAATTATTATTCGCCTTTTTATTTCCTCAGATGTGTTATTATTGGGGTTAACCGATGTCCCTAGATATATGAACTCTTTGGCTGCTTCGAATTGGTCATTGATGATTAAATTTGCGATTAAAACTAATGAATACTTTAAAAATTAAATGAAGTTCATACATATTTATATCGTTTTTTATACATTTCTCCTTTTTTATATAATTGATGTATTCAACTGTACCTTGATGGAAATTCATTTTATGTAACAATAAAACACTGAAAACTTTGTTTTCAAATTTCCACAAAATTTATTTTAACCTCTTATCAATACAGCCGTTTCGGCTGATTACCTTTCTCAAGTGATCTATTTTTGTTTTTACACTTTATAGTCTCTAATGAATTAGGTTGAGGAGGGAGAACTGTTTGTCTCAAGTTGGTCATTTAGAATTATATCTGTGTTTTTTAATTTGTTGATTTCCATAGATTCTAACAAGGATAGCTTAAGGCCTTTATTTTTAATGTGAAAAATTTTAAATTCATCATTAAATGAATGATTGTGATCTAGAAGGTGAAGTGCGTATGTAGAATCTGTTTTTCTATTATTGAAAGCCCTTTTATGTTCTGCTATTCGTTTATTAAAGTTTCTACCAGTTTGACCGATGTAAGTTTTTGGGCAGTCGCCACATTTAAGTTTGTACACACTGCTGTGTACGTGTTTTTTAATTTGGCTCTTGTTGTTTTTGATATATTTGCCTAGGTTGTTATTTTTTCGGAAAGCTGGTGTTATTCCTGTATTTTTTATGTGTTTGGCTATTTTTGTTGATATTTTGCCTGTATATGTAATTGAGCAGAAGGTACTGGGTTTTTCTCTGGTGGTATTTCCACCACCAGTGCGTATTGCGCGTTCCGCCAGGATTTTGCGTTCAGATCAGGACTTACAATATATATAAACAAGTTTTAACTGTTATTTATAGTATTTCCGAAAAATTAATACATACCTATGTTTTCCTCTTGAGGACTTCCCATATTTGGATAAATTTCCTGTTTCACCCTTACAATACCGAGATCAGCAGTGAATTCTGGAAGAGCTATGTCTGTTTGGCCGCATGGTGACGCTATGGGATTATGTTCTAAACTGGGTGGCGTTGGGAACATTTTACTAAGTTCTGCAGGGCAAGGAATTCCCATATTAGGACAATGTCCTGAAAATCTCTTGCTGTCTTCATGATGGTTGATAGCTGTCGAACCAGGTGGAGTTTGGACCTGCATCTAAAATTATTACTTCATTAGTACTTAAATACTTATAGGTACTATATATTTTTCGAATTGAAAACGATTTTTAAAAGCCAACATGTCGACAATTCAAATGAATGGGATGACGGTATTGAAGACCATTACAAAAACGAATTTCAGAGCTGTTTGT